AACTGGTGTAGGCCAGTTTTAATTCCAGCCCTATATATTTGTGTGTGTGTGCATCTACCGTATACACAAGTACACTGCACACGGAGAGAGATATTTCCAACCTCACGCATTTAACCACGAAATATGATGTAGCTACTGAAAGAGGTGAACAGCGTTTAATCACGTGTAAGTTAATGATTTAAATGCACTTTTATTTTTGGCCTCTTGATGTAAATCCAAACCAGACAAGCGGAGTCCTCTGGTCAGACGGCTGGAAATTCCTCTGCATGAAATCATGTTGGTGGTCTCCCAGCTCAGCGCCTTCTGAAGAGCCGTACAGTGAAATATCCTTCCATACCACTAATGAATGCGCCCACCCACACTGGAGCTAGTGCCCCCTAAGAACTCAATTCAAGAACAACTTTTTAAACTCGTAAATGAAATCAAAGGGCTCATTCTATGAGCCAAGGAACTTGCAATTTTAGGCGGGACAGTTAATGGGTGGCTACGATAGGTTGTCCCCATGGTTTGCAGTATACAGTCTCGGAAGAAAAAATAATAAGCAAGATACCAAGTATGTGCACAGCTTTCCAATTAATGAAATCTCATCCTCCTCCAATGAATACATAAACTGTTGATACCCTGATTACTGTACAGAGTTTGGGTGACTTGCTCAGCATCAACCAAAGGCACCAAAGTAAACTCACAAGATCTTGGTTTATGTTTGTGTGCTCAGACAAGACCTTCTAGATATTAAACAATTACTAAGCAACCAAAAATTCTCAAATTGGCCATGAAAACTTGAGCAAGAGCATTCAGGAAATAATTTTTAAGACTGCTGCTACTGAAGTCTCTGAAGGACTCCTGCTCGTGTGTGAATGAGCACTTGTCATGTAGAGTCCAAGCGGTGAAGCCTGGTGGCAGTGGCCAGAGGACTGAATAACCCAGTTGTGCTACCAAAGCAAGATGTGGATCTATCCCACGATGAGGAGACGACTCCTTCAGAGAGGCCTGTTATAAAATTATCGAGTGACACAGGGGGTGGAAGGAATCAAGCCTGTTGTAATTGAACTGACTTGAAATAATAAATGCACACACTTTCTTTAAACACAGCTTGCCACATCCTGAGAATCTGGAATCAATTCCTTCCCTTTCAAGAAGCTTAAAAGTGGTGGGACTTTGATATGGCATGAGCATGTTTGCTTCTGGGCTTACAGCCCTCGCCAGCCCATTCCAAACCTTTCAACGTTTTTATATTGTAAGACAGAAAAGTTAGGAAAACAAAGATGGAAAAAAAGAATCACAAATTCAGGGAACTATTAAATCAGGGCAGCCTAGCTGCCAAATACCTTTGGTAAGTAAATGAATCATGATCAATAACATATTGCCACACAGACTTACAGAAGAAGGTTATCACCTGCTTCTGTGCCAGGCATAAAACATAACGGCGTGTGGCTAATGAAGTACTGCTTGAATCCAGAAAAAAAAAATGTACTATTTTTCTCTGTAATGTGAAAGCATTTTACTTCAAAGTTATTTTAACTCATCCAGAAAAAACATTATTTTTTTCCATGAAAACTTTGTCAAAATCAATAGGTTACTGTGAAACGCTTCTTTTTTGATGATGTTGCATTTGTGAGAGGAAACTGTCTTGATTGAAGGAAACCTCTTTTGTTAAGAAGATGTTTCAGCTCTGATTGTAAAGCTGCTTGCTTTATGTATTCACATGTTTGCCACCAGAGGGTATCATAATCTCAGAAACAAACAGACTTAAGTATAATTGTGTCTTCATTTACATGCAAGAATTCAGACACACACCAAACCAAGAAATTACAAATCTTGTTTTCCTCAGTAACTCTTCCATTATCAGGGAAAAAAAAATCATTTAGCTACTTAAAGGCTACAGGCTGTTATCAGTGCCATCTCATCACCTCTCTCAGGACAAGAAATAGTGCAATGACACAGCCAAGTGATGGCATCACTTGAAGTTTTAAATCATTGCATGGCCCTGGCTGTTAACCCTCGTGGGAGGAACACCAGCTTGGGCTTATCCTTCACATGCACAGGTTCTCATTATTTCTCACATACAGTATCCTCATACTGCGTAGACCTCATTAATTATCCCAAACACTTCATGCCATTTTTCCGCAAAGATTTAGTAGCCACAGGCTGTAGTGAGAGCTCACGTTATGTAGACCGCATGATCTCTGCTAAACCAGTGTGCTCTGAAGAATTATCACATATAATTACCCCTAACACACTCTTCTCGCAGCTAGAGATAGGATGATGCTACAAATTCCCAGCCTGATATCCCACGCGTTAATGAATTCACCTCCCTGACTCCCAAGTTAAGAACACATAACTCAAACAACCTGGTGTTTGGTGCTTTAGCTTGCTTGGTATTCAGCACTCCCCTACTCCCAACTAACATAAACTAATATTATTTTTATATAACTGTCTGGGTTCTCCATTCTATTTTGGATTTATTAACATGTCTTTTTCTATTTGTCTATTTTGATCATGTGCAACTGATGTCCAGATCACTGGTGTGGCTTTCCAGATTAACCCAAGCACTTGAGTCAGTCAGAACTAAGAGCCAATATAGAGGATGTCTGTGATTAGTTTATACCTTTATCTGAGAGCTGAGGTATAGAGGAACTGCATAAGAACAAGCAGAAATCTGTTCCTTTTGGATCTTGGATTTTGGAGACAGGGAAAGGGACGCTCTCCTAAGTAATTTTATTTTATGTTTATAAAATGCTTTTTATTATTACAGAACTATATACAACTACTTCTGCTGTTATACTGGAAAGATAATGCATCAGAACCTACTGCAAAATGACATGTATCAGATCAGAGCTAAAGCCCTAGATCCCTTTTTAATTTGTGCTGCCAGTTTTTAAAATACCAATTGAAAAGAAATAGGTTCATTAGGAAATATTCATGCAGTGGTGGTGTCCTTTCCTTTTTGTAGTCTTTTCACTGTTCAAGAAATCTAACACAACTACCTTTTAATTAACTCATTAAGTGACATCTAAATCAGCCTTCAGAATAAGTGCTGCTGGATAGGAAAGTGGGCAAAATGACTCTGGGATAAGGGAAAAGCTGTTCTTGCTTAGCCCTTGAAATTGGAAAGTCAATTACTTTGCTGAAATTGAGGTCTACTTCCCACATGGTGTAAGTCTGCACTGATATTCGCAAGGACTCCGAGGTCCTCAGTTACTTTACTCCATTGATAGAAAGAACATGTAGGTACTACTTACACTCTGTTCATCTCTGCTTTATTCTCCTTGCACTGCAGCACTCCAGCTGTAAAAAATTAAGCTAAAGGCTTTTCTCTACTTCAAAGAGGAAAGTTCACTATGTTCAGAAATTGCAACATGTCTGCATATCACAGAAGCGCAAATCGACTGCAGCGTAACATCTCTTTTCTCTATAACGTTGATGTGCTCTATTGCCATTGGGAAGCATTTTGCTTCTATTTTCAAGAATGCCTAAATGAAGAGTTTGTTAGACAGAAGTAGGGGCTGCCAGCCCTTATGAGTCCAGGGATTTGCATACTGCAGAGTCACTGAAGCACCGCATTGGGATTATGCATGTGGACAGACACCCGTGGCTGTTTCAGAATGCAAAGGGCAGCAAGGATTAATTTAAGATTTAAAGTTGGGAGCAGACCCTAAAAATTCCATGTAAATGACCAAGATATTTTATTTTTACTGTAACATCTCTTTAGTCTAACTCTCAATTTGTCTTCCGTATACAACTTCCTACAGAGGTAAGCTAAGCATCCCACCAGCACTAGACAAAATATAACTTTTTAGCATCCCTGAGAAGTGAAGCACTTACAATTATTTCCTTCTGTTAACAATGGAAAAATATCACGGTACAGATTGTTATCTGACATAAATTACCATTTACCCATTTCCATCTCACGGGTCAGCCCCAGGCAATGAAATGTGATCACACAAAAATATCACGGCACAGATTGTTATCTGACATAAATCACCATTTACCCATTTCCATCTCATGGGTCAGCCCCAGGCAATGAAATGTGATCACACAGATGAAATCTGTGGCGGAGCTGGAACCTGAAAAATTCTAGTCTTCTCTGAATTATATGACAGGAGCACATGGTATTTAACATGCTTTAGGTCTGTGAAACTACTAATATAGGGTAAGACATACATAAGTGAGTGACTGCAAACATTCTAGTAGATAATCTCGAGGGATATGGAAGTGTAAATCCATTAGCTTTCATGGAGCAACTGGAGCTTAGACTGGCTGAAGTCTTTACGAGGCGAAAGGAATGTGGGAAAGAAAAGCAATTTCATTACAAAGATGGTGTAGGATGCGTGTAAATATGCATGGCATCCAGCTTCTCAGGGGAGTATTTATTGAGACACACAAACAAAAAAAAGAAAGAGTGCAATTACATTTCTTAAAGCCACTTCTTTCATTTAATTACTTTATGTTAAATACCTTAATATAGCTCAGTTTACAAGAGCAGAGTAGCTATAACAGTGTAACATAACCATGAGATAAGTGGGTCAGGAGTCTGATGGCCACAACTAACACATTATGAAAGGTCAGGGCATGGACTTCTCTCACCCAGTCACTACTAAATTTTCAGTATTGGCATGGGTTTGGGTCCACTCAATACGCAGTCTTCTAAGAGCCTGGGCAGAGTAGAGGAGGTAGCATAGGCCATCAGCCACTTCCAGTAAGCAGTATGGGACCCTGTTCTGGTGAGGGAGCTGGGCTGTGTGGACAAAAGCCATGTCATGGCAATGGGTAAAGGGGCTACTGAACGCTTTTCAGTCTCTTTTATTTACAAGTATACATGCAGTCAATTCAACTACAGACATATGAATTGAGTCCACTGAACTTACCATCAAGTTGATCAGCAGTGGTACCTGATGTCACATGAACAGAGTTTACAATAAAATGATGGGAGAATGGCAAGACTATGCCAATTCAAAGTGCACAAACTTCCTGGCTCTTTTGGTAATGATCTTACTCACCAGCATTATCCTGCTGCTTGGTATTTTTGATGTATGCAGAAAATTTGGAGAAGATATCGATTCCAGCAGTGTTTGACTCCCGGTGCTTAGCAGCCAGCTTGGGGTACCTGAAAAGGGAGTAGAAGTGTGTAAAGCAACATCTTGTTATCAGCAAATAGTGATGATTACAAATACAACTCACAGGATAAAGGAAAAAGTCCTGCATGGAGAATTGCAATTAATGCTTTCATTTATCTCAAAACAGCAGTTTGGCAAGTCCCTCTTATTAATATCTGTGTCTGTCAAGGCAGGCATTTGGACAGTTACACAAGAATGGCTTCATGGCAAAGGTAATTGCACTGGTGCTTTATGTGACCACAATCCAAGATACAGTGGGCTTAAATCAGAAGGAAGCATAAATTTCCAGAAAGGTGCAGGGGAGTCTGGCAGTCAGCTCACTTTATTATGAATGGCAGTCGTGTCTGGTTCCCTACGCTAAAAACTACTCCAGGGTGTAATAGCAAGGCATGTTAGTACTACCCAGGTGACAGAACATAAAGTTTTCAGTCTCTGATTTGTTTTCTGTAGACATCTGGTGCAAAGGAATATATCGATTTGAAAGACCAGCACAAACTAATGACTCCTACTATTTCAGTGGTCTTGGACCAGAGTACAGAATATTTAAATATCTGATCTCTTGCCTCAGGACTGGCCTATAGCTGCTGATTCAGTTGGAGGTAAAACACTCCATAAGGAACAGAGACAATTTTCATTGATTCATAGATTTTAAAGTCTAAAACACAAGCCAACATTTTTTTTTCCATTACCCTTGTATTAAATCCAAAATGTTTGACTAACTAAGGCATATCTGGTGAATCTGAACCTTTCCTGGGTAGCTTGTTCCAATGGTTAATCATCTATACTGAAAAAATCTGTGCCTTGTTTCTAAGCCGAATTAGTTTGGTTGTAACTTTCAATCGTGGGCTTTTGTCATTCCCTGACCAGAATAATGAGCACTTTTCTGCCTCCAGAGCTTCTCGTACTCTGTAATCAGTTCTCCTTCCAACCTTTCCAATACACCATACAGCTCAGAAACCTCCAGGTTTTTGCTGTAAAATGCTTTTCCTGGCACATATACTTTGTGTGGCAACTCTCAGCATGTATTCCAAGTTATTTTTAGCTTTGTAAAATGTGGACACCAGACCCCTACAAAATTTTTCTAGCATTGGTCTCCTTAATTCTGCATACAAGGGCATCCTGAAATGTGTACAGAGAAAACATTCTGCAGTTATTAGTCACACAAGTAACCTGCACACATGGAAGTCATCTCACTGAAGCCAGCAAGTTTCATAAATAAATATTACTCCTGTAAGTAAAGATTGTAGGAGGGAGTGCTTTTTAGGAACTCCTCTTAGGACATCTTTCATTCCTAGGAAATGGAATATTGACTGAAAAAATCCCGAGTTCTTACTTTGGAGGTGCAAGAGTCTCTTCCAAGAATTCCTCAATCTTGTTAACATCTGTCTTGACTTCTCCATTAAAAGTCAAGAAAGGTGGGTGGGTCCCAGGAGCCAGGTTGTGTAGGTCAGCTGGCTTTCTGCAGAGAGAGAAAAAACCATGAAATCACTAATCTTTATGGTCAGGTAGTTGCACAGATATTTATAGTTCCTACAAAAGCAGATTGCCCTTCTTTTTTCCTGTAGTTTGTGGTTAAAAGACTTTGAAACTACCCCAAGCACCCTGTTAAATATAAAAACATTCCACAAGTGAAAAAAAAATCCCAAACTTGAATCCCAACTCTTTTGTTGTGCACCGCAGGCTCTCTAGGCTAGATACAAATCTGATTGAACTTGGTGGGGCCTTTCTATAGGGCAAACACTGGATCATATCACTACTTTCAAATAAACTGAACAATTTTTACCTTTTCAGGTCAACAGTGGTGACGTTGAACACAACTCCTTTGAGCCACAGGATCATGAAGAGACGCTGGGAGAACGGGCAGTTCCCAATGCTTTCTCCATCTATGCCGGCCTGAGGGATGGAAAGAGAGGAAAAATAAATTTCAGCCTTGTTAGTCACTTACCTCCCTGAAGACGGAAAATTGGATGTTGAAAGAAAAATAACCAGTGTAAAAATAACTGACAGTGCCTGTTATTTAGTACGGTTTATCACCACCATAAGAATGGAGTTACTGCAGGATTCAGCCTTTATCAGGAGCTTCAGAAAGCCAACTGGTACCTTTCCTGAGAGCAGCTCTGGGTAAAAGAGACATGTCCCTTGCTGAGGGCAAGCAACACCCAGGAGACTGTATATTCTTTCAATCACTCTTATCCCTACAGGACTGCCTACTTCATAGGCATGCTATAAAACTCAGGACAGGTTTTCTGCTCTATTTAAGACTGTGGACTGCAGTTCAAGATCTGCCTCACTGTTTTACCAGCCAAAATATGTGCCTTCAGATCTAGATTGAAACCCAAGCACTCATTCACTCATTCTTGTTCACATCCAGCCTCAGACACAACCAACCTGATCCAGACAAATCTCCATCTGAATCCTTCCAAAGTTAAAGGCAGATTTCGGCCACGGCATTCAATAATTCAGGCTGTTCCTATCTCTAGTACCTAATGAGTTGCCTACAAACCACTACAAAACAATAAAAAACTGCTAGTGTTAGCACTGAGGAAGCAGCCTGTTTTTTCCTCTAAAAATTTATGGTCCTTAGCCATGCACATCCTGACTTTGAGCCATGGAGGGATACAAATAACACTAACTGAACTGAGCCAAAGCTGCATCCAAGGACAACATCCTTCTACAATAATTATGCTTGTGGCCAAAGCTTTCAGGACGATAATGTTTTTGATAGATTTCCATTTTAATTTGTGGTACCATTGTGTTTAAACGATTCTTATAATCCTGGTGAAGCAACCAACCTTCTGTTGTTGACCCACATGCGTTGCATAACTGTATTTCATGCGCACAGTTTGTGTCCCAAAACGGCTGATGAAAGAGCTAAGCAAATATATGCTCTTTTCCCTTGGAGAAATGTTTATATTACTCTGTTTGTTCTCATAAATTTTGTCTTATTAATATTCAAGCTGGGAGGTAGTCTTAAAGATGGAATCACTTCTAATTATTACAGTTCTGTGAAATATGCACAGCATAAGTAGAAACATTTTAAGATGCATCCAGCTGCTACAAATTCAGGCCTTCCATGTGAAATGTTTTGCTGAAAGTTTTTCTGGTAGGTGTCGTGAATCTTTTTCATGTCTTGAATGCAGCTTTTTTATGATTTTGAGTTTAAAAACAAACTCCAGGTTTCCAATCTACCAAAATATGGAGAGAGTGTGTATTCAAGGCTTGAAGACAACCCACTGTAAAGTTTAGTGGTATGTAAAGAGTTTTTCCCTGGGTTCAGATTGGGTTTCAAACACTCCAGAGATGATTGGATAAGGGGGTACAGTTTGGCTGCTCTTCTACCTGAAATCATGGATCTGCCATTTGCATGGCTGATTCTTGTCTTTCCTTCTCTGAATTTGCTTTGACATATAACTCCATTGAGTCTGATTCACTCTTCACTTGACTGGCTTCAAAGTGAGTGTAAAGCCCTGTTTTACCAGGTCCTGCCAATATCTTGTGAGCAAAGAGGTCTTGTATCACAATAACACGCAAAGCTCCAGCCCTCCTGCAGGTCTCCATCCTGCATGGAGGCAAGCTCCCACCTGTTCTCATCACCCACTGCAAGTAACAATTCCACCTTTTTCAGGAAAAAGGCTCAGGAAGACTGTTTCCCTGCTCTCTCCAGTTCTATATTCTTATACAAATTTTAAGAGTTACCCAGCTCTGCATATTTTTACATGTTCTCCGTCCTGCAAAGCAATAGTGAAAAACCCTCTCAAGATCAGAGAGGATTACTGGGGGAACAAAGCAGATGAACGGCAATGGAGACACAGAAGTGATGGGTCATGTGAGGTTGAGGGATGCGGAAATCATTGGGTACAGGAGAAAGAAGCAGAGTCTGGAAGAAGTAATTTTACTTAGACATCAAAAAGAAAATTAATTGTGGAGGTCAAATCAGGCCTCCAACTACCCAAATGGTCAAAACATCTTCCCAACACTTACAAAAGAGTGGGAAACATTAATTGCTAGAGACACATTGGGAATAGACAGAGGAAATTCCAGAAACGAAAGATAAACTAAAGAAAAAGTACGGTATGATCTCTGTTCAAAGCTCCTGGATCTGGAAGCCAGGCTCATGATTTGGGTGGAGTCTGACTCATGGGTTTTTGATCTCATGTGACTGGCATAACTGAAAACACTACCACAAATCACAAGGCAAACTGGTGACAGAGGAGGGAACAGAATCAAAATCTCCCCAGCAACACAATTTATCCATTAAATTCAGCTCTTTTTCTGCAGAAATTATAGGCAAGGCTCTGTCGGTTTTGTGAATCCTTTCTTATTGCTTCTAACAGCAGTCAGTAATTCAATGCTCAGCACTCAAAGAGCAAAACCTTAGTATATAATAACTTCAAAAGCTTATCAGAGTGTCTCGAGATCCCTTGTGAAGTCTATTAACTACCAGGAGGAGATGAGGAAGAACAGAGAACTTTGCAGGCTTAGTCACTCTGAGCTTCAAAGAAAAACAGCTTGCTTAAAGCACCTTGATAGTGCCTAAATACAAATCTATTATGTATCTGTCCAAGGTTAAGGGCTTTAAATGCAGGCTTTAAATAATACCTTCATCAAGATCAAGAACTCAAACAGTGGATGGAAAGAAAAGAACAAATAATTGACAAGCTGGAGAAACACCATTTATCCCCGCTGTTACTCACAAATGGGCACAAAAGCTTACTCGCGTAGCTTCCCTGAAGCGCAAAAAAATGATCAACCACGTATTAAAAGGAGCAAGTTGATGAAAAATGCACTCTCCCTGGCAGTGACACTGGATATTTCTGATTTAATGATTGCAACTGGAGATAGGCTTTGGGAGCACTAGGATCAAGGAAACAGGTTTTAAAGTGGTCCCAAAGCTGTGAAAGGATTTCAGAGCCTCTTTCTCCATACGGAAAGAGAAAGACCTCACCTGAAAAGGCAAATTCCCAGAGTGACTGTGGAAGAGTAAAATGGACTCAAAGATTTGTTGGGTGTGACTTTTAGGCCAATGATCTTCCCACTGAAGTTTAACTGAGATACCTAAGGGAAGTTTCCTGTGTGGGCAAGGCCAGGATGTACGTCCAAACGACAAATCTGGCCGTTTTTATACTTTGACAGAACCCAATGAGTGTCTGAATTTAGGTGGGATTAATGGATTAGGTGGACCCCAGTAACAGATAATCTGTGGAGACCTAAATGCTAGAGAATTATTTTGCTCGATCTTGAAAACATCACTTTGTGCTCCCATTGCTTCACACAAGCTTGCTCTTTATTAGTTTAGCTATCAATAAAAGACTCTTTTCTACTTAACCTCTGCCATTTAGGTTCTTCACACCAATTGATGCAAGGGCCTGCCCTGGAACCTGGTATCCTTATGTCAAGAAAATCCCACCATCACCAGCTGCTTGCCTTTATCTGAGCTATGGCAAGAATGAACAAGATGTTCTCCTTTATTATTTATAAGGCGCTCCTCCTTAAATACTTCAGCTGTTTTTATTGAATTAATTAAACCTTAAAGATACCTGTGTGCAGAAGTGGGGGATGTACTGTCACTTTGGTATCAGGGAACAAAATTAAAAGGGTTTTGGGGGGGAAGAAAAAGTCCCAGTGATTTTAAGAGCTTGTGCCAAATATTTCTGTGAAGCAGCAGTAATATTGAGAGCCTCCAATCACTGCACAGCACAGGTGAATTATGTGAACGGGGAGCTCTTCTCAAGTTCAAGCTACTACTTCACTATGAATGAAATAACTAGAATAAACTTCCTCACTTTTTCCAAAAATACTCCAACTGGTACATGCACAATGACTGCAATGCATACAGGCAAGTGTATATTATTTTAACTAACCTTAAGGGGGCGGGAGGAGAAGGCAAGTTTCATATACAGTTATTCCCAAAATATAGCTGCTTTAAAGAAATACACCATCATTAACAATGGCAAAGCATCTAGCTTAAAAATGGCATCGCTGGAAAGAGTTGCATACCGAAAAGCACTGTGTTTTTTTTTTCCAGGAGAATAATAAATTCGCTTTATCTAATCTCTTTGCATTATTCATTGGGTTGAGGCCATTCTGCACAATGGCCCAGCGGACCATTGGGTAGGACTTGGACTCCATGGTAAAGTAGGCAGGTATTTTTGATGACATTAATCCACATTTCTTTTTCAAAAGGATTTTTACAGGGTAGTAAAAGCAGGCAGACTAATTCACCTCAATGTTTCCCAATAACGATTAAGGAGAGATTTGATTTCATCATCCCTACAATCAAAATCTAGACTCACATTACACATGGTTACACCCTCTCTGTTTTAAAATTGGGAAAGCGCCTGCCTTTTGACACTTACTCTTCTTACGCTCAGAACCCAAAGGGGAAGTGAAAATCCTATTTGAAATGCAGAGCAGGCCAGGAAATATCCTATTTATTGTGCCATTAAAAAAAAATCTGTCTTAGTAATTATACCACACACACAATAGCACAAATCTCCATTGTAAGAAAAAATTACTGGCTGCAACATGAGATCAGACATGCCAAGGTATTGCTTTAGTAAGGATCATTTTTTTTCCAGTTTCTTGTCTCTTTTCTTTCACAACTTCTCGTCCAAATGCAAAAGCCAGTAAGCTATTTGGAGTACCACCAACGGAGAGGCAGGCTAAGAAGTGTATATTCATAGAGCAGCACTGGTAGGTCTCAAATAAGAAGTAAATCTTGTAGCACAACCCTGTGTATCACAGGACACACTTGTTGACTGTGGCTGTGGTTCAGGAAAGCATTAAGCATGTGCTGAAATACATCCCAATTCAGAGGAAGTATATGCTTGACTTTAAGCATGTTCTTAAGTCCTGATGATTTCAATGGGACTTAAGCACATACTTAAGTGCTTTCCTGAATGGGGGCCTATAACAACAATAATAAATTTGCTGCACAGCATTTTAACTACATTGGACTTTTTCCGAGATTTCCTTTTGCTGGGAGAAACTCTTAGCAGCAGCCGCCTTCCAAGGGAGGGCAAGATAGAGCAGGAATATATTCCTAAGCACACACATGGAAATGGACCATGTGCATATATGTCAAATAAAAATAGAGCATTTGCTAGAAAGACTGACAGGATAGTAACAAAACAAAAAGGAAGTGGTGAAATTCTTTAGCCAGCTCCCCAAAAGCCAGCCAAAATGTTGTCCAAGTTTGGCATACATACAGGCATACATTATAGATGCACATAAGCTTAACTTGGTCTGCACTGCCGGCCAATTTGAAGGGAGCTGGCGTTTTACACTCAGTTCAAACCGGCTGAGCAGCACGTCAGGAGAGGTGGGGATCTCCAAGAAGCTGCTGTTGCACTCCTTGGATCTGTACAGTTTTGGGACAGATGCATTTATACTCTTGAGACATTCAGGATTTTCAGGAGATGGAATTGTAAGTTGGAGACCTCATGAGCATCAGTAGCTGTGGCATGACAAATACTTCCTTTAGGTTTGGTAAATAATTCTTTTCCAACTTCTGGAAAATCCACTTTGTGGATGCCCCCTCCCTGGCAGTGTTCAAGGCCAGGTTGGATGGGGCTTTGGGCAGCCTGGGCTGGTGGGAGGTGTCCCTGCCCATGGCAGGGGTTGGACTGGATGAGTTTTAAGGTCCCTTCCAACCTAAACCATTCCACTATTCTATGATACATGGGCAGGAAGGGATTAGTCATACAGGCCAGCTTCTTCCTAGGAATCCTTTCAGCTTAGGATGTTCATAGTTAACGATCAGTTGACTCAAGATGGTCCATACACCTGGTGCAGAGCAGATTCATCTGCCACATAAGCTGAGGTCCTGGTGGCAGTTTAGCTACAAGCACAGTGATCAACCTGTACAAATAAGGCTCAGTTTTCCTCCAGGGCTTTGTTAGAACCACAGACCACTGTATATGTTCTGCATGAAACAAGCTTTGCTTTGAAATTAACTTTGCAATGCCTGAGAACTCCAATCAATCACGTACAGTTTGGATTTAGGAAATGATAGACAAGTCACAGGTAGATAAAAGCATGTGAAAATGTCATGCTATTCCATCACGTCTTCTGCTTTCTTTAAAGAACTAAAGGCCCATGATTTGATGAATATCAACAGAGTAGAAAAGCACTGACTGGTCCAACATCCTGGACCAAGAGATGATTTTGTTCTCCTCTGTATTTGTAGACCCCTTACTTACCATTGCATGTGTTAAACTTAATGAGATATTGATAGTAAATAATCAAAGGAAGTAGGAACTATAATGAAACTTTCTGCACCAAAATACATACAGCAAATACTGAAATAAGGATGGGACCAAAATATGTTTTTTCTGTGAGATCATGTTCCATCATGCTTTGCTGTGAGACATTTCTGCCTCCCAAAACTGACTTTCACATGGTGGTGTATAAAGGAA